CTGTGTGGGTATCTGAAAGTGAGTGTGGGTTTCTGCAGTAAGATCCCCTGAAGCTAGAGTCACATGACAGGAATTTGTGAACCTCCTGCTGTGCTTGCTGGGAATTAAACTCAGGTCCTCCAGAAGAGGAACAAGGCTCTTAACTGCTGAGCCATCTCTCCATCATACTGCTCATTACTTTTAAAAAATAAAATAGTTATAAAAACAATAATTATAAGGGTAGTTTAAAGATAATGGGTTATATATCAAGTATTACATGAAGTAATCAAAAGCTAATAGAATTTTTTTAACTAGAAATTACAACATATACAAATTGAAAACTGGTAGTTCAGGTTTGGCCAAGAGTATATAATTAATTCCGAAATTACAGTGATAACTACCTATATAATATATGAACATTTAGGAGTATTTCTTAGGCACGGTATTTCAACAAGATAGTTATTCTTGATATAGCAAAGAATAAAAATAGAAAAACCACAGTTAAAATGAGTTAATAACTCAAATGTAAATTTAAAATTTCAAAACCAGTAAAAGGGGAAGTGTGGTGAGACAGCTGAGCACATCTAAGCACCTGTAACCAAGATACCATGGAAAGAGAAAATTAACTCCCAGAAGTTGTCCTCTGACCACCACACGTGTGCACTAACACACATACACACACAAAATAAATGTAATAAAAAATTTTAATTAAACAACTATCTCATTCTTCAGTAAGCTAACAAAATGTACAATTTTATTAGCTTAAGTAAAAGGTATATATTATAAAAGATATAAACAAAACTGAAAGCATACACTGAATATACTACATATACGGCAGCATTACTTCTGTCCTAAAGACACTCCTGGGACATATGTAACATATGTATTTGAAATATTATCTAATGCCGGGTGATGGTGGCATATGCCTTTAATCCCTACACTTGGGAGGCAGAGGCAGAAGGATCTCAGTGAGTTCGAGGCCAGCCTGGTCTACAAAGCAAGTTCCACAACACCAAGGTCTGTTACACAGAGAAACTCTGTCTTGAAAAACCAAAAAAAATCAAAGGTTTTATCAAACACGTATTTTACGTAACTCATTAACTGGGATTTGTTTGTAACTTTTATTTGTGCTCCTGTGCATATGCATATGCATGTCAGTGTTGTGGAGGCCAGAAGAGCCCATTGCGTCCCTAGAGCTGGTGGTATGGGTACTAGAAAACGAACTTGAGTCCTCTGAAAAAGCAGCCAGTACTCAACCACTGAACCATCTCTCCAGACCCTCATTACTTTAGGCTTTAAATACAAACTAGGCAATAAATAACAAAAGCCACAAGATCTCACCGCAAAATTATTCCAAGCCAAGCGAACAATTTATAAAAGGCCTGGAGATGTAGCACAACGGCAGAAAACTTGCTTAGGATGATCAAGGTCCAAGGTTCAATCCCTAATACTGCCAATAAATAAACAAGCAATAAATCAAAATATTATAAGCCAGTCATGGTAAAGGATACCTATAATCCCAAAATTTAGGAGGCAGGAGAAAGAGGAACTCCCAAACTTGAGGCCAGCGTGAGCCTACCTAGTAAGTTTTGTCTCAAAAAACAAAAAATAAAAAAACTACAAAAATACCTGTCACAAGGGCCATTTAACACGTTTATCTTAATTTTACAATACTTTGGTTTCTTTTGTGTGTGTGTTTTAAACAAGATCTTGCTATGTAGCCCAAACTGGCTGGCCTGCAATCCATTATCTATACATGTATCCAGTCTGTGTGTGTGTGTGTGTGTGTGTGTGTGTGTGTGTGTGTGTGTGTGTTAATAGTGAGTAGAATGTAAAATAATAAAGTAGGAAGGATTGAAAGATCAAGTCTAGCTTATCAATTTTCAAAAAATTATAAAATGAATAGCTTAGAAAAGTGAACATACGGCAGGCGGTGGTGGTACACACTTTTAATCCCAGCATTTGGGAAGCAGAGGCAGGTGGATCTCTGTGAGTTCAAGGCCAGCCTGGTCGACAGCACGAGTTCTATGACAGCCAGGGCTACATAGAGAAACCCTATCTCAAAATACCAAAACAAAACAAAAACAAAAACGTTACTTACTTACATAAAACCCTTAAATCATACTTTCCTATAAATTTTCTTAATTGAACATTTAAACATTTAAAATATCGATATCTAATTGAATTCCTATATTATTTCCTTTTTTTGTTTTTTGATAGGGTCTCCTTATACAGATCAGACTGGCCTCAAACTCAGAGATCCACCTGACTTTGCCTCTGGTGTGCCAAGATTAAAGGTGTGTGCCACCACACTGGGCTTATTATTGCCTTCCTTCATTTAGCTTATTTGTACGTATCCTTTAGTTTTCCATGTATTCTCCTCCAATACAATGTTAAAGATATACAATAAAACACCACTGAGCTGGACTGGAGAGATGGCTCAGAGGTTAAGAGCACTGATTGCTCTTTCTAGAGGTCCTGAGTTCAATTCCCAGCAACCACATGGTAGCTCATAACCATCTATAATGAGATCTGTTGCCTTCCTCTGGCGTGCAAGCAACAGACAGAACACTGTAAACATAATAAATAAGTAAACCTTAAAAAAAAAAAAAACACGGAGCCTAGACCTTGTACACACTAGGCAAGTACTCCACTACTGAGCAAGTACTCCAGCCCTCTTGATCCTCCAAAGAAGCTGGGATTACAACCTGTGCCACTGTTTTGGAGGTGCGCATGACCTGAATTGGGCTTTGTACATAGTAACGCATGCCCTACAAGCTTTCAGAAGTGTACTTGAAGAGTTTTTATTGAAATGAACTATGCTGACTTTCATTACTTGGCCAAAAGATGATAAATGAAATGTGAGAAAATATGAAATACTATAGTAATATAGGAATGCTATGTTGGTCTTGGCTTACAAATCTAGCACACATAACAATGCTTAAGATAAATTTTTAACTTATAAAATATAAATTATAATACAAATGGATATGAATGTAAAAGGTGAAAGTCTCTCTTCTGAAGCTTCTCTTAGAATAGAAAGAAAAATAAAACTTAGTGATGGAAAATATTCCTTAACACTAACTAGTCAGAGAAAATTACAAAAACTTTTGCAAATTGTTAACAGGACACGTACGAAGAAAACCGTATCTAGGGACATCACAGTCAAAATAATCATTTTACACGTGAATATATTTGTTCTTTCCTCATGTTTCATATCAAAAGTTTCTAAAGGTTTGAATTACACACTTTTGAGCGATGTAGCACTAGACAATCTCACCCCAGATTTTTTAAACATACCCAAATCCACAGTTATTAAGTGAGAAGACTTCTTTTCAACGACATAAACTACTTAAATAGTACATTCACCTTTGGCCTCACAGATGGGGGTAATTAACTCACATTCAATACCATCCTTTCAATTACACGCCTTTTAATGGCTGAAATGGGAGGGGGCGCTAAATAAGGGAGACGAAAACCAGCTGAGAGGCTTTAAGGGGAAGCCAAGTGCACTTACCATTTTTCGGCAAACTCTGGATCACCTTCACGGCCGCCTCAAACCTGGTTTCATACACCGATCTTGTGTCCGCCATCTCCAGCTGCCAGCACCGGCCCCGATCCCAAGGTCTGTCCGCGGGAATCAGACAGCAGCAGCAGCACCAGCTTTCCCAAGAGCCTGCATGAAACTGAACACCGAGTGCAGCCGCGGATTAAGATAGCCCGGAGCCAGGAGGCCGGGGAGGGCAGCTAGCTGGTCAAGTCCCCTTTGCCCAGACCAATCAAGGCCACACCGACCAAGGTAGCCTGTTCCTTCCTCCTTCGTGGGGCGTGACTATGAGAACATCCCAGCCAACAAAAACAGCAAAACAACTCACCGAGAGGAAGAGCATCTCTAGCTGCAGGCCTTGGGGGTTGCGCCGCCAGTAACAGCGGACCCTTTCTCCCACCCGGATGCTGCGGGCCGACCAGCCACACCCCCCATTCCGGAGAAGTCGTTCAGTCGGGGGGCACCCTCCCCGCAGCCCCGCCCCGGAGTCACCGGAGGACCCACTAGCCGCCGCCGCCGCCGCGGAGCAGCAAACCCCACCCACCCGCTCCGCAGCCGCGGTGACGCGGACTGGAGGTGCTCGGAGGAGAGGAGAGGCGAAGCGCTGGTAGGATCGGTCTGCGGAGGTCCCTGTGCTTGTTTATGTTCCGGCTGGGAGGACCGAGGCTGATGACGCGCTAGGATTCTACGCCGGGTCCCAAAGGTGGCCCCCCTGGATACCGCTGGTGTTTATTAAAAAAAAAAAAAAAAAAAAAAAAGTCCGCGGACCTCAAGGCTCGGGTTAAACTCTGGAGGGTAGTGAGTCACAACAAAGTTCGCTTTAAAACTTCCTTTTTGCCACTTAATCTCTGTGACCTAGGGGAAGTCGCTCGGCCTCCCCGGCGGATTTACACCACACTGAGGGCAGAAAGGGGGATTAAGAACAAGGATGGAGGTGTTTAGCCTTTGCCCACAAGACTGCGATGGCTTCCACCGAAGGGTGGCCGGGGAGCGAGCAAAGCTGAGCGGCGGTCGCCTGCTACTCAGGTCCACTGCTACCCCCACTTCTCACGCCCACCTCCTGCCGTGGCCGGAGGCTAGGGCTGGAGAAGAAGCACGCGTGGGAGCCCAGTCCCCGCGTTGTCGGCACTGGGAAAGCTCGCAGGGACGTGGGGTACTGTGCCCGGAAATCTCAAGGACGCCCTACTGGACGCGTCATTTTCGTCGGTTTAGGATGGGTTGGGAGGGTTACTCGTACAGTCTAGTTGCGAACCATAAGTCAACTCTTCCCTTGGAGCCGCGGTGTCGGCATTTACCTTGATATAGCCAAATGACTGGCAAGGCCTGTCCGCCTTGTCTCGACGCCTGCCCCTCACCTTGCCCCGCGGGCTTATGGGAACTGTAGTTCCCCGGCGCTTCCGGCCATCTTCCTCTGGTTCCGGTTCGGTATCTCATTGTAGCCCACCCTCCCCGTGTCTGGCGGAAGTGCCTTTCTTCCGGGTTTCGTTTGGGAGATTTTCCCGAAGTGCGTCGTGTACTCGGAGCAAAAAGAAATATCGGTAATTTCTCTGATAGGCGAATTCCCTGACAGCAGGTTGAGGTTGGTGTTGCGAACAGTGTCACCTGAAGAGTTCCCTCAGGGCTCATTTCCCCCGTACTCAAAGGTGAGCAGGTGTTAAGTAACCCAGAAAAAATATAGGACTCACTGATAAATCAGAAGACAAAACGTTCTTGAGAGTAAGCGCAGGCATCGGGAGAGAATCGCTGCCGAGTGCCTCACCACCTACGTCTGTCTGGTATTTGGCAAATACCATTTGACGTCCTCCAGAAGCACTGTAGGGTCTTTACAAATGAGGAAGCGTAAGTTGACTTGCCCAAGGTCCTGAATTTAAGCTGAGTGTAAATCAAACCATAAAACCGGCAATAAATTAGAATTTCATAATCGCGCGAAAGGAAAACACAAGTTTTCAAACTTTCTCAAGATAAGATAGCCTTGTGTGTTTAATACCTTTTGCCTCACCTGCCCTTTTTTTTTTTTTTTTTTTTTTTGGAGTGAGGTGCTTCTCAGACCTAGTCTACTCAGTTATTCATAAACGTAAGTATTTGGGTGGCCAGGTGGTGGTGGACTCACCTTTAATCCAGCCCTGGGGCGGCAGAGGCAGATAGAGTTCAAGACCAGCCTTGGTCTACAGAATGAGTTCTAGGACAGGACTCGGAAAGCTACAGAGAAACCCTGTCTTGAAAAGCAAAGGAGGATTGGGGTTTTTTATTATTTGTTTATTTATTTATTTATTTATGGATTTTCGAGACAGGGTTTCTCCGTAGCTTTTTGGTTCCTGTCCTGGAACTAGCTCTTGTAGACCAGGGTAGCCTCGAACTCACAGAGATCCGCCTGCCTCTGCCTCCCCAGTGCTGGGATTAAAGGCGTGCGCCACCACCGTTCAGCTGGGTGTTTATTTTTAATACCTCATTTTGACAACTGTTAATTACACTTTTGTAATAAGCTGCCCTGCCAGTTCTGCTGATCTTTAGGTAATAATGACTGCATGTTTTGCCGGTGATTGCACTGAATTTTATTGTATGGTTGTATGAATTTCCAGTTATAGAATAACATAAGCATAAAGGAAATTGATATTATTTGGGTAAAAGATTTTTAAAGTAGTTTTTCTTTTGCCAAGAAGTAGAAGCAAGCTAAGTGTCTACCAACAAGTGGATTTTTTTAATGTGGTACATATACATGGAAAACTGATGAACCAGAAGAAAATTAAATTCTCGCCTTCTTTTTGTTCCATTTATTTGTGTATATGGAGGATGGGTCATGCATATCACAAAAGTGCCGGGCAGGACGACTTGCAGAATCAGTTCTCCCTTTCTACCACGAGACTCTGGGGATTGAATTCAGGTAGTCAGGCTTGGCAGAAAGTATTCGTGCCCACTAAGCACTTCAGAGGTCACAAATCCTGCTGTTCCTGAATGAATGGAACTGGTGATTATGCTAAATGAAATAAATCCAGCACATGAAAACAAGTATTGCATGATCTCATGAGTGTAAAATAAAAGCCACTGATCTGAGAGGTTGAAAGTAGTTTTGGGGCATACCACCCTAATGGGGCCATATCTGGTCCAATCTCAGAAGGGAAAAGCAAGGTTAGAGCTGCTGTGCTGGCTAATTTTATGTCAACTTGACTGACACAAGCTAGAGTCATCTAAGAGAAGGGGGGATCCCAATTGAGAAAATGCCTCTGTGAGGTCAGTGTGTTGGCAATCTTGTAGAACATTTTATTATTAAGAGATTGATATGGAAGGGTCCAGCCAATTGTGGGTGGTACCATCCCTGGTCTGGGTTTTATAAGAAATAAAGCTGAGCTAGTCATGATGAAGAAGCCAGTAAGCAACCCCTCCATGGACTCTGCATCAACTTCTGCCTCCAGGTTCTGATGTGGGATGCTCTCTCTATGCTGTGAATATGTTTTATTACCATTGGTTAGTAAAGAAACTGCTTTGGCCTATGGCAGAACAGAATAAGCTAAGCAGGAAATCCAAACAAAGATGCGGGGAGCTGAGTCTGGGACGCCAGCAGCCTCTAGGGAAGCAAGATGTGAGGTAACAGGACATGAGCCGTGTGGTAAAATATACAATAATAGAAATGTGTTCATTTAAAATGTAAAATCTAGTTAGCAATAAGCCTGAGCCATCAGTCAAACAGATTGTGCATGTGACCATCGATACCTCTTCAGGATTCTTGATAGCCACTATGCAAACTGGGGAAGCATGTGATAGCTAATTGCTTAAAATGATTTTCATATATGGGCATTCCTAAAATTATAAAAATGGATAATAGATTGAGATATACTGGTAAAGCATTTCAGAAATATTATTCCCAATGGAAAACTGACATAAAACAGACATTCTTTAAAATCCTCAAGGACAAGGTATTGTTCATCAAGCCCATGGCAGTCTCAAGATACATCTTTTTTTTCTTTTATTTTTTGTTTGTTTGTTTTTCAAGACAGGATTTGGCTGTAGCTATCAAGCCTGTCCTGGAACTAGCTCTTGTAGACCACGCTGGCCTCAAATTCACAGGAATCCAACTGCCTCTGCCTCCCAAGTGCTGAGATTAAAGGCGTGCACCACCACCTCAAAAAATATAAAATGGGGAGTTACATTCTCAGTCACCACATAATGCATGTGACTACATAATCATGTCCTTTTTGTTTTACATTTCCTAAGTGTGGATGCCCACGCACAGTCTGTTGGAGGCAGATTTTGGCAGCATGGCACTTCGAGCAACTTCTGCTCAGGTGAAATGGAAGCATCCTTACACTGGATTGTGGCAGGGTTACAACCCTGTTCTGATAGGGAGTTGAGGGCATGTTTGTTTTGTTTTGTTTTTTAAGCTTTATTTATACAGTATCCTGTCTGTAGGCCAGAAGAGGGCACCATATCTCATTATAGGTGGTTGCTGGGAATTGAACTCAGGACCTCTGGTAGAGCAGTCAGTGCTCTTAACCACAGAGCCATCTCTCCAGCCCCCATGTTTGTGTTTTTTCACAGGAAGAAAATGAAACTTGATGGCTGCTTGAGCTTGGTGTGGTGTGTGGAACAGAGGAATACTGGCCCTGATGATATTGTGGCTGTTGATACTCCCCCAGAGGAGTCAGAGTGAGATTTATTGAACTTATGTTCCTGGTCCTCTGGTATTACATCCTGCAATCTGGGAATGGAAGGTGATTATAGTGACAGTTAATGATTCCTGGCTTCTTGATAGACCTGCTGCACAAATTTCCCAGATATCTGTAAGTTTTGATTATTCTTGATCCAGCTGAGGAATGCCTGTTTTTCCAAAAATAAATCTGTGACTGAGTGTTTGGCTGTTTATCCACACTATACCTTGGGACACGGAGGTCACCTTTGCCAGTATAGTGCCCATCTGCTGTTGAAATAGAAGGCCTGAGCCAGGAAATGGTGGCAGAAGCAGGCAGATCTCTATGAGTTCAGGGCCAGCCTAGTCTTAAAAAGCTCATTTCAGTACAGGTTCCAAAACTACAGCGAAATCCAATCTCAAAACAAACAAGAAAAAAAAAAAAATAGAAGGCCTGGAGAGCAGGGGCCTCGGAAGTTTCCCCTCTGTGGGAAAGACTCGTTAGAGCAATTGCACTGCTATGGAGGTGGTGTGTGCTAACGCTCCTTTTCAGTATAATATCACTGTAATTGAGAAATATGCACTAGACTGCTCAGGAAACCAAACTGGAGGTGCCGAGGAGGCCCCCCACACTGATAAGGAAGAATGGGATAAAGGTTTTGCTGCTGGCATTCAGTCTTCAGGACTGGAGCGGCTGAAACATACCTTTGGAAGCTAGTGGCAGCAATGCCCTGGATTTTAGGAGAGGGAAAGAAAAGGCTCAGAACTGTGGAGGTACTCATACCTCACCATCACAAAAACATGTTCTTGTCCCTTGATTGGATTGAACTTACAAGAACTGTAGTTTAAACAATTGTGTGTCCATTGTTAATAATCAGACTAGAATTACGGTATTAACCTGTTAATGTTTGTAACCTCTTCTGTTCACAGTGACAGTGTTACTGGGTGGAAAAAGGTTAGAACTCATCCGAGAGGAATTTGGCATGATGCTAATGAGTCCTTAGATTCGAAGGGATTTAAAAGGCAAATTAGGCTTTCAATAAAGCTAAAACTGCCAAAGACATCCTGGACCATCTTGGTCATCCTTTACTCAGGTATTAGGAAGTGTTGCAGCCATAGGAACATGTCTATTGCTAGGCATTATTTGTTTGTCTAGTTACTTGTGAACTCTTGGTGGAAAGTTGGTTCAGAGGTGTATGGCGTCAAGCTATGTACTCTCCCATAATCCTTTATAAACAGAGACTGGTAGTAAAAGACAGGTAAGATCTTTTTGCCTCCAGGCAATCTAAAACAAGACACACATGGAGGAATGTATGTACCAATGACAAGTAAGTCTGGAAGTTTGAAAAAAGAAACAATCTAAGACAGGCTTAGTAATCTGTCCTGAGGCAAAAACACAGGCATTAAAAAAATAATTTAAAAGGGGGAAAATTGTGGGAGCCCATAGTGAATCTATTCCATGTTGACTTAAGGTCAGAGAGTCCAAGCTTGTTCTTGGTCCTCAAGGACAATTAACAGTCTGTTTGGCAAAAGGTGTGGTTACTAGCTGTTTTGAGAATTAAGGAATTAAGCTTGTTTGTTCCTTGAGCCATGGTAAGGAAGTCTTTTGCCCTCCCCTTTTTGCTTTGGGTATATAAGGGGTATGAGAAATAAATTCAGGGCTTCTTCAGTATTCACTGAGAGCCCTCCCAATTCTATCTTCTGTCTTTTTTCTCTTTTTTTCTGTTGAAATAGGAGCGACAGGGCTGCGTCCCCAGCACCCCAGCCGCCTGCTAGCTTATGCCCAAAATAACAACACACAAACTGTATTCATTTAAAGACTGCTTGGCCCATTTCTATCTAGCCTCTTCTAGGCTAATTCTCACATATTAATTTAGCCCATTTCTAATAATGTGTGTAAGCACCCCAAGGTGCGCTTACCAGGAAGATTCTAGCCTAAGTCCATCCTGGGTCTGAGCTGCCTGGGAGAGCGGAGCCTGGCATCTCTGCTCCAGAGAGCAGAGCTGTCAAGTCTGTCTGAGGAGTCTTACCTCACTTCCTCTTTCTCCTGTTTACTCCTCCCACCTATGTTTTAACCTATCAGGGC